ATCATCTTCTATTTCTTCCTCTTCTTTTTAATCATCATCTTCATCTTCCTCTTTTTTATCACCATCATTAACATCATCATCGTCATCATCGAAAGCACCATCATCTTCGAATTCATCATGCTCCATTCTAATTAAGGTCATTAATTAGGCAACGTTCGCTGACGTGAACATTGCTAAATAAATTAACACTAACAATACCACTTCCAACATCATCGTCTTCGTCTTCGTCATCATCCTGATTTCTATTATCAACATGGCTATCTTCAACATCATCATCTTCATCATTCTTTTCATCATTATTTTTATGCTATATATAAATGTTGTTGAGACTGCTTAAATAGTTAAAACTTTTAAAATTAGAGACATCATTTTTAAAATCATCATCCAATTAATCCACGTTATCATTTTCCTAATTAATTAATTAATTAATTAACTAAGTAATTAATTAGCAAAACAAATCTGTGAAATGGTTCAATTGTTAAATTGAGAAAAATAAATTACACGATTCAGCACACATGTATGATTTATATATATATAAGCAAAACCATTTGTAAATATAATATTTTCTGTCCAGGATTGTAGATTTAATTTTAGTTTATAATTTATATGTTGGGATATTTATATGTGTGTGTGTAAGTGTGCGTGTAGTATGTGTACATGTGCGTGTGTGTCTTTCTTTGTATATAAGCATGTGCACAGCTGTTTGCGTGAGATCAAGCTATTTATAACTTTGTAAAAACTGTTAGTCAAACTTCATCGAAAGTATATCGCACTATCTAAGTACTTGAATAAATTTTATGTAATCTCCACACACCACTCACACACAAACAAACACACACACACACACTCACACACAAAGAAACAGACTCAAAAAATATACGTTCAAGCAAACAAACAAACAATTAAAAATCGTGAAATCCTTTTTGAAATTATAAAATGCAAATGCACGAAATTTTAGCCCATCCTCATAAAACAAATTAAAAAAAACGCACTAACAAACAGTTGAAAAAATTAAATAAACAAACTGAAATACAAACCAAACGTACAGACAAACATATTATCGAATACAAAATCGAATGCCCGCACTCGCGCACACATTCTACGCTCACAATTCTCACACGTGGCATCTGCGAATTTGCAAGCGTTAAGACTGTCGCATGTTCATTTCTGTGATTAATTGTCCAAACCTGTCGAATACATAATGTTACAGATAGGTCTATTTACTCCTAGATGTGAAAGCACACACATATGCATAAATACATAAATACTTAATCAAACTCAAACATAAACACAAATACATTCACGCATACGTTCAGACACCTAAAAATGTGCATGCAAACAAAACCTGTTTGTGAATGGTTTGCAAAAAAAAATTATTTTAATTATATATTCGCGGGAAAGAATTTGAACAAGTGAACTAGCATTGGTGGATAAACGATTCGCTCATGTTTACGCATTTTTATATAAATGTAAATATTGATGTAAATAAAAATTAAATGTATACTCATTTGGAGCATATACATATTCTACTTTTTTTATATAAAGTGGATAGTTAGATATAGTTGTATAAATATAGAAATATATTTTTCAAAATGTTACAAAATAAACGATGTTTGTGAAATGTACGCCTCCTAATTACAATTAGATAAACAATATGTTATACATATAATAAATATAAATATTTTCCCTTAATAACATATATATAATAACACGTGTATTAATATGTGAAAGACAACGCTTCGTAACAAAATCACGCGTAGAATATAAAATTTCAATAGCGATTAAAATATATATAATCTGTCAGAATTCCTGTCACTCTGGCGGGAAAAAAGTCACCCTTGTTAGCGCATTAAATGTGAAATATATTTGCTCCTGACGAGTGAATAAATAAAAGTCACCCATATTAGCGCATTAAACGTGAAATATAATCGGCCCTGGCGAATGAATAATAAATTGTCGTTCAGTGGGTAACTCCTACTCAGTTCTAATTGGATTTGTTTGTGACATCTAGCGTCGGCATGGAAATGTTTTATGATCTTCTTCGGAGAGCAAAAGGTTATGCCGTAATTAACTACTGGAACGACAGTTACATCATAGATAACAACATTAACATCCATAATAATAACGTGAGCAACAATTACGTCAAAAAACGTCAAATAGAAGAGCAGCAGTGTTAACTACAGTTGCTGCAAAAACCTGATGAAAAACATCAACAACATACTAAAAAAATAAGAACAATAAAAATGTATGTTGTGCAATGAACAAGCAGAAATTGGTCAGAACGCAGTTGATTGCGTCATAAAAAAATAACTCCAACGAAAGAGGAACGGCTTATAAATAATAATGGGAATAATAAAAAAGATCTTATTAAATACGCTATACAATGTATCAGTACCTACTGTAAAGATATGAAAAACAAAAATTATGTCGTCAATAACATATAAAATGCCATCGTAAAATGCGGTGATCGTGAACAAAAATACTTAAAATACTACATTGCAACGTATAAAAACAGATCAATGTGAAAGTTATTCTGCATAATCTTGAAGAAATTTAAAAACAAAAACAAAAGATTGAAAAGTAAAAGAACATTTTCGGCACAACAGACACAGCGCAACATAAATAATCTTGTGAAAGCAAAAAAAAATGTTAGAAAACAGTTTCCGAAATAGCCGTGTAAAACAATAAAAACAAAAACAATGTCGAAAATGCGCCAACCGCATCAGCCCAGACGTCAACATAAGGAAAGCAAACATTAGTCTCAGCGACCAAAATTTTCATCACTGCAAAAATAGAAAAAAAAATTCTCCCACGTTCTTATCAAATTTGAATGCAACAACATCAGCGAAATAATGGAAAGTGGAAGTTTCCAAGCGATGCATACAAACATAAAATTGCATACAAACACATTGAATATTTACATCATTCTTGTAAAAAAATCAAATAAAATTATCAAAAACCTTAAAAAACACCTACATACCTATCGCTATCTACAAGCAAGAATATAACAAAGTCAACAACAAAAATTACAACATCAGCTTAATAACATCAACAGCAACAACAAAAAATGCTAACTATAATATTCCAAAATGCAGCAACCGATTCAGCAGCAGCAACAACAAAATAAACGTCAACGACAACAAAAAACAACCAAGGATGGCACATTGTTGGTTGTTTTTTGTTTGAAAAAAAAACGAAAAACAACAACAACAACAACATAGCAACTCAAAACCTCAAACAACAAAAACTGCCCAACAAAGAATAGCACAAACAACAACAACATAACAACTCTAAACCTCAAACAACAACAACAATAACAACCGTCCAAACACGAACGATCAACTGTATCTCTCATTACAAATTTTTTCCCAAGTCCTAGCGTACGTGGATAAAGAGAGGAGTTCATACATGTTATGGCTTCCAGCGTATCTATCATTTTTATTATACCCATAATTATCGTAAACATTTTTATAAAAGTCATTTATATTATTATAATTATAATTGTTATTATTATTGTTAGCATTGTAAATATTATTATTGTTATTATTATTGGGTTTATTATTATTTTTGTTGAAATATTCATTGTTAATCTTGTTGTTACTGGCGATTCCTGCTCTGTATCTCAGTAGGTTCTTGTAGAGACGATAATTGAGTGTGCTGTTGTAGTTCAGCATTTTTTCACCTTTCTTGTCTTTATTGCGGTTGCTTCTGGCATTAATTATGTTACTGTTGTTGTTGTGTTCGATGGTGATGTTATTGTTGTTGCTGTTGTTATTGTTGTTATTGTTGCTTTTATTGTTGTTGTTGTTGCTGTTCTTTGTTTGTTTTTCTCCGCTCCCATTTTCTTTAAATCTTTCGCCATGTCGGTTGACAACACTTTTACCGTTCGTTGGTTGGCTGGAATTGACGTCATCATCGTCGTCATCAACGTTGTTGTCTTCATCACCATCATCGTCATTATCATCACTATCATCTTCCTCCTCATCTTCCTCCTCATCGTCATCATCATTATCGTCCACAAACTTTTTCATAAAATCGACAGCATCATCGCCATTACCATCGTGGTTATCATTATGGTAAGAGTAAGTTGCAAATTTATCCTTGAAATGTGTTGTTGCAGTTAGTGTAGTTGAAGTTGTTGGGGCTGCTGTTGGCGCTACTGTTTTTGAAGTTGACGAAAAACGTTGTGGTATCTGTTGCTGATGCTTTTGATGATGCCGTGGACGAATGTAATAAAGTGGTTGATGTTGTTGTTGGCGATGTTTCTGCTGCAACTGTTGATAATGTTGTGGATGTTGTTGTCGGTGATGTTGTTCTAAATAATTTTGCGGTTGGTATTGCGGCTGATGCAATCTCTGATGTTGTTGACGTTGGTAAGGTTGCTGCTGCGGTAGATCCTTCATTCTGTAGCAAGACCCATAAACCTGAGTGTCTATGCTGTTAGCCGAATCACTTTTAATTGCTCTATCTAGTCCATCTGCCGACAACAAAAATGACTTCAACTTGGTCGATGAAAATGACGAAGATGACGACGACGACGACGAAGATGATGATGACGACGACGATGTCAAATAGACATTGACTTTGCTAAGTTTATTCAGCCACACAATATCGCAACCACACTTTAGTGGATTGAATGTGAGGTCTAGAAACTTCAGCTTCAGTCCACGAACCACCTCACTGTTGTTGAATGAGAGAAAGCGATTGCTGCTGAGTGAGAGGTAACGAAGTTTGGAGGATTTCTTGAAAAGGTTTGCTGGCAAGGACGAAATGTTGTTGCGGTCCAAATGTAACCTTGAAAAACAAGATGGGGATGAAGATGCTGATGATGGAAACTAACATTAAAAAAATGATGATAAATATGGTTATCGACATTGTCGTTATCACCATCATCGTCATTATCATAATTTTCATCATCATCATCATCGTCGTCGTCATCATCATCACCTCTGCAATGACGATAGATTGGCAAATGCTTTCGACCAGACGCTAGCAATGACATTGTTGCTTATTCGAATTTCAGTGATGTTCTGCATGTTGGCGAAGTAATTATCGACGACGTAGTTCAATTTATTATTCGTCAGGTCGAGAATTCGAAGAGAACGCAATTTGGCGAATGTGTAAGGGAAGAATGCGTTGAGTTTGTTGCCATCCAGGTGCAAAACTCGCAGGTTCTCCAGGTATTCGAAGGAATCTTTCTGGATTTCGCTGATTTGATTCTCACCTAGGAAGAGAATCTGTGGGTTTGATTGAAGCAAGCCTGCTATTTGTACGCTATTTGTTGAGAATCAATGCAAACTTGATATCGAATTTTCTGTAGTGAATAATAGCGTTTTAAATTTGTACATGAAGAAAAAATTTTTAAATGTTGAAGAAATGTAAAAATATTGGAAAACAATATATTTTTTATAAAACTCATTTGTAAAAAAATTGCATGTAAATAATTTTAATAGAAATTTATATGCTTGCCGATAGTGGCGGTTTCAAGATTATTTTTAGGAAGATGGAAAATTTTGGATGTTTGTAAATTTTTCTATTAATTTTTGAGGTGTAAAAATTAACCAAAAATTTTATGGCAAGCTAAATGTTTGAATATCAAAATAAAGAACACAGACAATATAGAAATTTTCTAAACACGTTTACATTTTCGTTACATTTCATAACTGGTTAAAGATGTATTCCCTTTGAAAGCAGAACTACCTGCCGGTGTTTTACGTGCACGTAGCTGCATAAATATGCACATAACTGATAGTAAATTTTGTCTGGCATAGTTCTATGAAGGATGTTGCAATTTTTTTCTACATAATTGTATGCAAGTCCTCCGAGTGCAAAGCAGTGAGTAAGCGATTGTGCAATCTACTGTGAAACATCTGAAAAAAAAACATGAGAAAATCAATAAAAAAGGTTGTGAAATAAGAGTGCAAAAGTACATTTTTAATGAAATTTAGAAAAAATCTTGTAAGAAAAAAATCGATGTGAATAAAGAAAATAAAAAACACAGTAGGCAAAGAAAATTGTTCTATCAAAACTAACATTACAAACAAGAAGAGAATAGTAAAAACACGTGCACATAAACAATATCTCTGAAACAAAACTAAACGCCACAAACAACAACGAACCATCGTAATATAATTCATTCAAAATTTTGAAAAACTTTAAAAAATTAAATTAAACGACCAACAACGTGAAATTGAACGTGAAAAGCAAACATGGAATAAAGATGAAATAAAAGTAGAACAGAGAAAGGGAGAAAGAAAGAAAGAAGAGAAAAAGAGAAAGAAAGAACGAGAGGGGGAAAGAAAAAGAAAGAAAAAAAAAAAAAGAAAGAAAGAATGAAAAAATTGATAAACAGATATATTTGTAACATCTCATTAAAAGAGAAAAAGAAATACAATGAAAAAATCACAGACAGAGAGAGAGGTACAGACAGACAGACAAACAAACACAGAAATAATATAAAAAATTTCTGAAAGTTAGAAGGATATTTTTCCTTCGATTAACTGGACAAGCGAGATGAATAAATAACTCGCTGAGGGATCAAAACAAGAGTACTCAGTAATTAATTAAAGAAACATATGAACAAACATACGAACATCAGTTACAGCAGCAGAGGCAGCAGTAGAAAACTGAATGACAAATTATGTAAATGTTGCAATGAACTAATGAGGCTGTCATCAAAAGTGATAATTGGAACTTTAGTGAAACTGTAACAAACATTTATAATGATGGCAGTATTAACAATGGTAAAACTGAAACAATTTATCAAAGAAATATCAAAGAGAAAAAGAGAGAGACGGAGAGAGAGAGAGAGAAAGAGAGAAAGAGAGAGAGAAATAGAGAGAGAGAGAGAAAGAGAAAGAGAGAGAAAGATAGACAATGAATAAAAAAGAAAATTTTTTGTTATTATTACAAGAACAGAAAAATGACAGGAAAGACAAAAATTGAAGTATGCATCGATAAGGCATATGTTAGTGCTGATAAAGTGAAAAATAATTCCCAGACGTCCAATGCTAGCAAATGAATTTTTACGTATATATCGCCACTATTGCAAATAAAATTTTAGTAATAATGTTTGTAAATATGCCTAGATGAAATTGAAGTGCATCTTATGTGTTGAAAATATTGCAAAATGCATAAAAAAAGTGAATGATGGAAAGTTATCTTGCTTTTTAGTGAGAAGATTTTTGTTTTGTGAAAGCTTTTAAAGACTCTTACAAAGTATTTTTACGATGGTTTGCGCGGTGTTTGTTCTTTTTTGCTTCGGCCAATAAATATAAAGCTGCATTTCACAAATGGAAAATAAAACTACCGTAAAAATATCTAATTTGAAAGTTTAAAATAAATTAAAAAAGAACTTTCAAGCCTATTCAAATGAGAAAAAAACAAAACAAACTAAACAAAAAAAACAAAGTAAGATGGTAGAAATAAAGCAAACAGATTGAAACGGATGTCGATTGATCAAGATACACTTCAATTAAATGAGCCAAAAATAATATATAGACTTACAAATAGAGGCACACGCACATCCAAACGCACATTGCCTACTAATATACAAAATTACATTCACTTTAAAACACATACACTAATATACAAAATTACATTCACGTTGAAACACATACACTAATATACAAAATAACATTCACTTTAAAACACATTCACTAATATACAAAATTGCATTCACTTTAAAACACATACAATAATGTACAAAATTACATTCACTTTAAAACACATACAATCACTCACATACACACGTGCATAAACACAACCAGGCTCCGAACAGTATAGGACATCAAAAACAGTAAAACTGATACGTACGAGCGGAAGAACAGACAGTGAATATGTATATATCCTTGGACTTGTTCGTTCTTTCTTCATTCCGTTCATTCATTTGTTTTAGGTTTGTTAGCTTGACAGTTGTTTGTTATTTTGTTTTTCAATGCCTTTTATTAATATACATCTCTTGCAAAGTCATCATTCCTTTCTACCGCTTCATTTCCATATTTGCTTTCTTCGATTTTTTTTTCATTTCTTTTGCTTAATGTTTTATTTAATGTTCTTTGCGTTGGAACCATTTTCTTTTTAGTGAATTTTTTCAAGTAAATTGTTCCGCCAAAGAATAAAGAGCGGTTAAAATTTCAATTTGCAACTTGTTCACGTCCTACTTTTGTACACACGCACTCCATCACAAGTTATGTACGCGTTTGTATACTTGTTTCGGATAACCATGTACAAATAAAACTTTTTCCTAACAAACCTATTGCATGTATAAAAACGTAAGCAAGAAAACCTTATATAACCATACTCACGCACACATACGGCAAAAAATAATTCACATTTATCTAAACAGTTTTGTAAGTTGATGAACATTTTCACGGGTACTTACGATCAAAACCACTTATTAACCGCGCATACATTCACAGACTCTTAGACATACAAACGCACACGTTTCGATTACACACGTACACGCGCACACAGCCCAACGTTAAAATCATGTGTAACTGATTCTTACTGTGCAAATGGGACTCTAAAGATGGAACGAGGGCCCGGAATTTAGTTCATGCCGTAACGAGGAATAATTTTTCTTTACTACGACGTAAGAGGATAATTTTGTCGGCAGGCGGTGGGATGGTTCGCCATTTCAATAAAGTATGCTGGCTTTAACGGGAATTAAGTTTATGCTAAGTGCGGTTAGGAGCTATTAAAATTTTTTTTAGGAAAACGTTAAAAAATTATTTTGTCTTAAAGCAAGTTTAAATGAACAAAATTTAAATAAAAGTTTGTTTAAAAATTATATATAGCTAATTAGTTTAGTTGACTGTCTCTCAATTCGAATCAAATTTTGAAAATTAAAAACATTGCCGCAATTATTTCTGTCTATTAGGTGTTTTTGTTTGTTCATCGCAATTGTTTGCAAGTTTTAAAGAAGTGGATTTCTGGTAAGCAATGTTGCTTTCGTTGTCCAACCGCTATTCAACAAACAGTTGAAACATTCATTGAGTCAAGCAATCAAACAAAACACCATCTTACCTGAAGAGCTGACTGGTGTTTGAAAGCAATTTTGGACAGCTTAGTTATCTTATTCCTATCCAAATCCAACTTTTTCAACTTCCACAGCCCAGCAAAAAAATGTTCCTCCAACTCAGAAATCTCGTTTCCCCAGAGTGACAGTTCTCTCAAGTCTCGATTCTCATAGAAAAAACCATCTGGAATCGTTTCTAATTGGTTGCCCCACAAATTCAACCGGAGCAGCTTATTGAGTCCATTCAATAACTTATCAGGCAGTGATTTGAGTTTGCAAGCTCCCAAGCTGAGTTCCAGCAGATGATCGCCTACACCAACGAAGGCTTCTGAACTTATGTAACTCTCGATTGAATTGAAGTTTAAAGAAATTTTTCTGACTTTTAAATTTTGAAACGATCCCTGAGGGAGACTTAATATTTGTTGGTTGTCAGCTGAAAATGAGTTGTACACGTGTTGTTGCTGTCGTTGTATTGGCTGTTGCGACGTTGTTGGAGTTGATGCTGATGATGTTGAAATGAATGTTGGGATTTCTGAAATTTTGTTGCAAATGATTTCGTTGTTGATGGAACACCAACATTTCTTATTTTTAACGTAGTTGTCGTTGCTTTCAAATTTAATTGGACAGAAATTCGTTTTTATTGCGTTTAAATTATCTTTGTAGCGGTCGATGCTTTTTAGCATGGTGTTGGTGTCCTCGCTCATCCTGCTGCTGCTGATGGTTTTGCCGTTGAAATAATAACTGTTGTCGTCGCCAATGTTGCCGACCGGATTCTTTTTGTTCATGGCAAATTTGGAATTGATTGTTGTTAGTTGCCGGGGTTGGTTGTTGTTGGTTGCTGTTTTCTCTTGAAGATGCTGATCTCTGCGTTTTCTGAAGCTCATTTTGGAATTATCCATCGAGGAGTTATTTTCATGTGATGTGTCGTTGTTTGAATGGTTGGTTTGGTTGTTGTTTGAATGTTTGTTGTCAGTTTTGTTGCTATTTGAATTGGTGTTAGTGTTGTTTTTGTTCTCGTTTGGTCTTTCGTCTTTGTCATCGCAATCTTCCGAGATATCGTTAACAATGTTTATGCCCCTGTCACTGTTTATATGTTGGCTCTTTTCAATGATGTAGAAGTTGTTTTGGCGCTTTTTACTCTTGTTGGTGTTGATGCCACTGATGCCAATGTTGTTGTCATCACTGATGCTGATGTTGTTGTTTATTTTGTTTGGGTGGTTGTTGTTGTCGGTTATAATGTTGTTGGTTATGTTGTTGTTTATGTTTATACTGCTTATGTTTTTGTCGTTTCCGCTGTCGATACTACTAATGTGGTTGTTGCTTGTGTTACTTGGAATTTTGTTGTTTGCAATCCTGTCAATTTTGCCTATGTTGTTGTTAGTGTTGGCGTTGATCTTGTTCTTGATAATGTTGTTATTGTTGTTATTGTT